AGAATTAAACTTAGAGACCTCCTACATAATTGTCAATTATAAATCAAAATTAATAGAGACATTAAAAATTAGTACGTACATAACTCTCGATATTTGCGATAGTGCCTCTGTGCATTTCACCCATTGTCAACAGAGCCATTATAATTGATTAAATATGAACTGTTACTACTAACACTCTAGACTTGATATTATTTCTCTGCAACAATTATGAATTAGATGATGTATGACTTCATACCTCTAGCTTCCTTATATAGTGAAATAGGAGTCACATGTGAATATTATGCATTGTACCATGTCACCAAATGAATTGGCGGCTGCACCCATCCATTACAAAGGATCATCAGTCCAATTGGAGATACCTAGGAACTTGTAACCTAGCTCTGGACGAAGCTGATCATGTTTCATGCATGCAGCACATGCTGACACCCACATGGCAGCACAGTGTGCTCAGACTGCACCTTGTCGCCAATTCATGTGGTGACTCCCTTTTCCACGTTGTAGCTTGTCGCCAATTCATGTGGCGAGTTCATTACGTGTCCCATGCATATTTATATGTTCCCATGGATGCAGACATAGATAGAAACCAAAACAACCAAAATTAGTAAGTCTCTAACAAGTGTTTTTACTATGTCATTTGCACCGAGATATTTTGTTAACGCCCACTACAACGGAGAGACATATGTCTCCGATGACATTGGGTTTGGTTTTCAAAACACCGATATTTTCTGATTCACTATCAAAGAAGGAAGCGAGACGAAGGTCGGTCAGATGATGAACAACAACGTCGAAGATGACGAACAAGTGCCAATACCTCCAAGTCATGTATATTGTTCGCCTCAACATATGACATACTTGAACTTGCAAGACGATGAAATATCTGCAAATATGTTTCACAACCCGTATATGCAGTCAGAGAATGAATTAAAAGTGGGAGACAAGTTTCGTACCAAGGAAGATTATGTACGAGCCATTAAAAAATATCACATAGATAACTTTGTTGATTATAGTGTACACCAAACTAATTCGAGAAGGTATGTCATTATTTATCGTAATCCACCTTGCAAGTTTTTGCTTACTGCGACTTACAGAAAGAGAAGTGATTCTTGGAAGATAGCTTCCATGGAGCCACCTCACTGTTGCACTGCCACAAATATTATTCAGGATCACCAAAAGCTAAGTGCATAATTGATATGTCAAGACATTTTTGAGACTTGTTAACAAGGATCCATCAATGAAGGTGAGTATAATAATATCTCATATCAAGACGTGGTATAATTATACTCCCTCGTACAAGAAGGCGTGGATTGCAAGGACAAAGGTTGTTGAACAGGTATTTGGCAACTGGGAAGATTCGTACAAGGAATTGCTGCGATTTTTGGTAGCGTTAAAGACATACACACCAGGTACTATTGCAATCATGTAGACAATGTCGACATGTAGGCCAGATGAAACTATTGTTGATGGAAATGTCATCTTTCATCGTCTCTTTTGATCGTTTTAACCATGCATAAAAAGTTTTGCATTCTGCAAACCTGTTATTCAAATTGATGGAACATGGCTCTACGAAAAATACAAGGGCACCTTGCTTATGGTTGTTGCACAAGACGACAACAATAATGTCTTTCCCGTAGTCTTTGCTCTGGTTGAGGGTGAGATGCTTCTGCTTGGAATTTCTTCCTTAAGAATCTCAGAACACATGTCATTCTACAAACCAATCTATGTTTGATTTCAGACAGACATGTTGCTACAGAGAGTGCTTACAATAGCCATGATAACGGGTGACATAATCCTCTTTCTACTCATGTATATTGCACTAGACATATTGCATAAAACTTCATGCGTGCAATCAAAGACAAGAACCTTCTCAAAAAAGTTATGAATGTCGGGTATGCTCTAACTCAAGCAACATTTCAATACTACCTTATCAAAATTAGGATGTCATATGCAGATGCAGGAAGCTGGTTGGATAACATTCCACTGGAAAAGTAGACAAGAGCTTTTGATGGTGAATGTCGTTGGGGCACATGACGACAAAGCTTATGGAGTCAATGAACGGGATATTCAAAAGATATAGAAACCTTCCAATCACAGTTTTGGTGAGATCAACCTATTATAGGTTGGCATCGCTTTTCGCAACAAGAGGTGAAAGATGGAGTGCAGTGTTAATGTCGGGTCAAGTATTTAGTGAAAGCATAATGAAAGTGATGAAAGAGGATACTATCAAAGCCAACAACATGCAGTTACAATGTTTGATCGTTATAGGCAAACATTCAGTGTACAAGAAACAATAGACCATAATAATGGGAGGTCCAATTGATTCTATGATGTCAGACTAAACAGATGTTGGTGTGACTATGGTAAGTATCAGGCCTTTCTTGTACCTTGTTCACATGTCATTGTGGCATGCGCACATACTCGTCAGGATGCATATATCCATCTATCTAATGTTTACAAGGCGATCAATGTTATGAATGTCTACAACGAAGGCTTCACAGTGTTA